ATAAAAATCTTTCATTACAAAAATGAAAACATAAAACCACTCAGAGAGAGAAAGTATAAACAGTTGTTCTTATTCGTCATGGGAATTTCCTTCGTTTTGGAGAATTTCGTAAAGCCTTGCTTACATAAGGGAGTTGTGCGTCACGGTTTCTCTCCACGACTTCTTTCATGTTATCTAGGGTTCCATAATCATAACGACTGAGGTGAAATCCAAGTGCCCAGTATGAGGGTAGGACTGGCCGTCCAATGAGCTGGAGGGAATATTAGAAATGAAAGTCAGCAAGTATTCTACTTTAAAATAAAACTTTATCTAAGCATTGGTTTTTAGGCACAAAATATGCTCAATTTTCCAACTCACTGATTTATTGGTATTAGAAAGTTATTCTGTTTTGCCAGCACCTTTATAAATCATTGAGAGTAGGGCCATGTTTCGGTCATCTTTATATTTTTTCACCTTTTTATAACTTAAAAATGCTATAAAGCAAGTTCTTATTGTGTCCATGAAATCCATTCTTTAATGTCTCAAATTTGTAATAGCAGATCTTTGTGGGTCAGTCTTGCATACTTAACTTACTTTTCTTTTAACTACTTGCTATTTCAGATTTCCTGTCATAATCATGATATCATAAGTTTACCTTTAGGTATTCTTGAACAACTTGCTCTGGAGTGTCTCCCAAGAACACATAGAAGTCGAGAACGCCCCCAATGGTGCGGTAAGTGACTGCTGGGGCGGGCTGGACATCAACCTCTTGAAAGATTAAAAATGAAGAAAATAAAAATTAAAATGTATTCTAAAATAATAACTACAAAGTTTTGGACCAGAGGATGACTAACCATCTGAACATTAATAAGGTGATCCACCACCTCGCATTTTATATACAAATGGACAAACTCTGATTATGGAGGTCTGCCCTCACAACACATGGGAGACGAAGCATTAACTCTGACAGACTTCAAAAACAGATGACTAGAATGTCTTAGCTCCTTGTACCTGGACCCAAGCTCTGATGAAAAAGCAACCAGATCTGTGAAGGGGTCCAGAATAAGCTACTATAGCATTAAAATTGTTTTGGGGTTGAAAGCATTTAAGTTACTGAAATCCCTGATCTGCCTAAAAGCAGAGCTTCCCAAAAGAACTCAGAAAAGAACTCAATTGTCTTCTCTGAGACAACAAGCACCATACGCAAACAGCCATTGTCAGAAGACTAACATATCTCCCATCTATTCTCCTAAGAGCCCATTTACCTTTTCTAAAAGTCCTTGGTTTTCCCATAGCGTCTTTGTCCCCTTCCCTTTCCCCTATTAAGATAGTTATGAGCCCCAAGTTCTAACCATCCCTTTGGGTTACTCACCACTGAGCACTTTTGTGTGTACACAAGTTGCACTTGTAAATAAACTCTGTCTTTTCTCTTGCTAATCTGTCTTCTTGTCAGTTTAATTTGCAAGCCCCCCAAATTAAACCTATCAGGGTGAAAGAAAAGTTTTTCCTCCCTAACTTTCACAACCACAGAACTTGTCCCCACACCATAACCCATCATTATTGGGATGCTATAACCCAGCTAGACATACCGAGGTGCTATCCTCAGTGAATCTCACTCACATCAGGTAAGAGCCAAACTAAAAAAATGCCAGCAATTATATCATAAATTCAAAATCGCTCTAAGCTCCAATCACCATTTTCAGAAATTGCCTTATAGCCTTGGTTTGCAGCTAGGGATAAAAGGCCTCAAGAGCTACTGAAATGTACTTTTTGGTCATAGGAAATACTCAACAGAGTATCCAGGATGGTGTGGCCTTTTCCATGAAGTCTTACTCAGCTTGTGTTTGTGTTCCTTTCAACCACCTGAACGTGTGAAGTCCTTGTATTATCTTAGTCTATTGTTAGGCTAATGGGTATTTTAAGTACCTGATAATCATCAAAGATTCTGGTAGGTTTCCCAGAATTACTTTAGATCACCTAGACTGCTTCTCAAACAATCTATAGTGAAAGATCAATCACATCTTTTTGTTTAAATTTCTAATTCATTGAAACTGAGACTTTTGTAAAATAACATGAAAATGAATTACTAGAAAAAAGTTAATGCGTGCACTTGGATCTTACAGCAATGTTTACTCTCGGTTTCTATACTCATCTTACTGTAGATCTGAGACAGTCTGTGAACCATCCATAAATCACACTGATCTAATCCAGTGATTTTCAGTTGAGAAGAGGGTAGAGATCGGTATCCTATGCCCACCACCAACCATGGGAGATGCTGACACATCTCCTCTTCCTCTGTGATGATTCATTGACACAGAATAAAAGGCTAAGGAGGGAGAAGGCAAATTGGTAGAAACAGTCTCTGAGTAGATTATGGGGAAAGGTCAGCTTTCTTAACTCCTCAGTAGAAAATATTCCAAGAGAAGCAACCAGATTCAGGCCAATCATAAGCTGGGAGAGAATCTCCTACACAGGGGTAACATGGGTCAACAGGTAACGAAGGAGGGATGGAACAACAAAAGAATGTATAAGACCCTAAGCTTTGGCTTAGTCTTTATGAAAGGGATCCATTTCTTTTATCACAGTACTGTAAGAAAGGGACTAAAAATGGCTCATGTGTCTGTTTTTTTCATGAATATTCCTTTGACCCTTTACCCATGGCATTGCTGTTCATCAGAAACACCCCAAAGGACAGTCCAGTAGCATCTTCAAGGCAAAGGAAGAACGTCTGCTCACCGTACAAGTTAGTTCCATCCTGCAGAAATAGAATTACAAACCAGAAATTTACAACCAAGTAGTCTAAACATCACACTGCTGAATTGGCTTAGGAAATCCAATTTCCTAAGGAACTCTCAGTCAATAAAGACACAGAGATTTTAAAAGATGGGGTCTATATTTGGTTGATATTAATTAACCAAGTGCACTAGTGTTTTCTTATAGAATGAGCCAGTTATGACCATTCATTTAGTAAGAATGTGGAGGTTGTAATATTTGTGAGAAGGTGGGAGGATGGGAATTTTGAAACCATAATTCAAAAAAAACCTCCCCTCTCAAAGAAGCCTGTCTTAACCTTATCTGCAAAAGCTCCATCAAGTTTTAATGTGAATCAGGCAACTAGATGGAGCTCTAGTCTAGGCTAGTCTTCTAGAACAGGAGTTCTTGTCCCAGACTGCACTCCAGACCAATTAAAATGGAATCCCTGGGGATGGAAGCAGACACTGCTTTTTTTTTTTTTTTAATTCCCCCAGATAATTCCAATACGTAGTCACATTTGTGAATCACTGCTCTAGAACAGTGTTTCTTAAAACTTGGTGTATGTATGAATTACATGGGCACCTTAGTTAAACAAAGATTCTAATTCAATAAATGGAAGAAGGTACTGAAAGCTTACAGGATGATACCCATGATGTGCCCTTGAGGAGCAAGAATCTGACTTCTTAATTAAACAATCATCACCAGCTGTTCCTAGGTGAGCTACTCTGACTCAACAGCTTCTCTGCTTTTTCTTTTTTTTTTTTTTAAAAAAAAAAGATGACCGGTAAGGGGATCTTAACCCTTGACTTGGTGTTGTCAGCACCACGCTCACCCAGTGAGCTAACCGGCCATCCCTATATGGGATCCGAACCCGGGGCCTTGGTGTTATCAGCACCGCACTCTCCCGAGTGAGCCACGGGCAGGCCCTTCTCTGCTTTTCTGATAGGCCTATGTATAGCAGAGAGTATGGGCTTTAAATTAGATAGAGTGGGAATTACATCTTTTCTCTGTTACTTACAAACAATTTTACCTTGAGCTATTAATTTGGCTTCTCTGAGTCATCTCGGTTTTGTCTTTTAAATAAGGAAATTATTCTTATGGTTTTCTGCTGTCTCTTGCTAAATAGAAATGATACATAAAAATAGTTGCTTAGTACATTATTGCTATGATCTTTCATCCAGCCACCAGTTCTGCTTAATCAGAAAAGCCCCTGCAGTACTGTATTGCTAAACCTAGAAAACAATGTTGTTTCAAGTTTTTACAGTCAAAAGAAACAAAAGCAAATTTAAAAAGAGCAAAACAATAACAACAAAACTGTCTATTCTTTCACTACCTCCACCATTCTTTACACAAAAAATGATTTATACATTGTTTTGGCTTAGAGTTTATCCTATTTTGCTGACAAACTTGGTAAATCAGTGATTTTTTAAAGGTTAACCTGAAAATGTGGAGACTCATCATCAACTTTTGCTCAGAGTACAGGTATTAATAACACTTTCTCCACAACTGGTTAGCTCAAAAGGGAAACATAGTTTAAAGTACTTGACATTTATTGAGCACTTTCTATGCTGCAGGCATTCTTTTAGGTGCTTTACAATTTTATCAATTTTTATTAGTTTATCAGTTCATTTAATCCTCATCACAACCCTGTAAAATAAGTACATTATCATCACTTTACAGATGAGGAACTGAAGATGCAGAGAGGTAAGTAATTTGCCCAGAACCACATGCCTGGTAAGCACAGAGCCAGAATTCAAACCCAGGCAGTTTCACCCTAGAATCTTACTCTTAACCCTACATTGTACTGTAGGTGACCTTCAGGAAAGAGCT